CACCTAATGTAAAATTACATTTCAGTTTGTAATTCATTTCAATGTTACTTCAACTACTTATTCACCTTCTATGTCTTGACATTCACATGAAAGAACAGCAATCATTAATGAACCGAATGCAAACCATAGTGGAACTCTAGGCCTTAGATATTGTATTTTAAAAGTGCACATAAAACCTGAAGACAAAAGCATATTAAGTGATAAATAGCTTACTCAACTTTAGCCTAACTTCAGTTTCAAAACTGAATACTGACATTATAAAACCATATGATGCAGATAAACAATATTCCTTTAGAAATATTAAAGAATTTAGTTCTTTGCTTACAAGTTTTACTTTTTAGATAATACAGGTAACATGCTTCTTAAATAATCTCTCTTTCCACTTTGTCTATAAAAATAAAATTGTCCTCAATATTCCTAAATTTGTTCTCCAAATAAGGCCATTATTATATATTGAGAAGTCACTGAACCAAAGGTGTAGATTTAGTGGCACAAATCACATGTGGACGAGGATGTAACAAAGTCATTGTCAGGGAAGGAGTCGGAGCACAGCACAGTAACCAGCCATACGTAAGAGGTAGAATCTTAATCACAGTTTCGTGGGAAAGATGCAGTAGTTTGTGTCTGTGTTGTTCATTAGGTATAGTACTTTAAGTTTGCTTCTCACCATGAGTTTAGCAGAAGGGGATGGGGGGGGGCTCCTCATGGGCAATAATCTTACTGGCCCTTGTGTTACAGGGGCTACTCCTGAACACTTAAAGCACTTTCTTGGCCAGTTAAGGTACTCAGTCATCTATGGATGGCATTTATGTATCTCATTTTTAAAAAGGTTCAGAGAAGGGAAACCTAAGCTATTCTCCCAAAAAGAAGAGGGAAATATGTAAGAAGGAGGGGGAATGTATCTCTTTCTGTACCCCTCTTGAAGTGTAAATTACAGATGAAACCACTCTCTGGATATCATTATTGCTTATTCACAGTCCCAGCAGTTCTAACCTACAGACGTTGTTCTGTACTCAAGTTTGTAAGTTGATTGTTTTGAACTCCTATGTCATAAACAGTATGACAAATGGGTGTAACCTAAAAACTCTATGCCATTCATAATGTAACTAAATTACTAGTACTTGAGTAAGAGGGGATGGCAGAGCCGATACGGTCACTCACATACTGAGTGTTTAAACTTGGAATTCTGTGGGTTTCCAATCCTTGCTTGAATGTCAGTAA